CTCTCGTTGTGGAGACGATAACTCAAGAAATATTTATCAAATTAGCGTGAAATTTTATCTAGTAATTGGTCATTGCATGTAACACAAAGTGCTTGAATTTGGAGACGAATCATGCATTAATAAAAATAATATAACGAAAACAATGACACGAGTTCAGGGGGAAATACAAGGCGAATTTGAGTCAACCTTCATGACACGAAAGCAACACACTCGGTTTCCAGTCGATAACTCATGAAGTATATGTTGCATTTAATTGAAATTTCGTAGTTTTATCAAACAAGATAGATAACAGAAATCTGTTGAATTTCGAAATGAATTTGTGATCATTAAACAAAAATATAACCCAGACAACGTGGCGTGTTAAACGCGAAAAATACACGGCGAATTTGCGTCAACCTTCATGGGACAAAAACAATACACTCGTTGTGGAGACAAGAACTTACGGAATATCTGTTGAATTAAAGTCAAATTTTATCTAGTGATTGGTCGTCATAGATTTCATAAAGTACATGAATTTGGAGCGGCATCATTGAGCAAAACAAATAATACAACCTAGAAACAACGTGGCGTGTCTAGCGAAAAAAAAGGAAGCCAATAATAACCGACTTATTGAGACAAAAATGAAGAATTTTTGCAAATTTTGACCCAAATTATCGACGCAATTCTTCTTTTAAATGCCCAAACTCTCAAAAATTCCGGCTCCACTGTGCTCTAGGGTCCTTCAGGCATATTCCCTGCAACTTTCAAGCAATTTCATTTTTCGGCCAAAATTGAAAAAAATGCAAGGGGTTAGCCTTACATTTTTGATCAAATTTGCCTAAAAAATGACTTTTCTCCAAACAACTCAGAAATGTCTTGGGGTGCAAGAGGAGCATCAATCGACATTCAAACACTGAACATATTGAAGATTTGGGCAAAAATCACCGACTTATTGAGACAAAAATGAATTTTTTTTGCTAATTTTGACCCAAATTATCGACGCAATCTTACTTTAAAATGCCCAAACTTTCCAAAATTCCGGCTCGAATGTGCTCTTGGGTCCTTCAGGCATATTCCCTGCAACTTTCAAGCAATTTCATTTTTCGGCCAAAGTTGAAAAAAATGCAAGGGGCTAGCCTTACATTTTTGATAAATTTGGCCAAAAATTGTCTTTTCTTCAAACAACTAAGCAATGTCTTTGAATAAAAGAGGAACATTAATCGACCTTCAAACACTAAACATATTAAAGATTTGGGCAAAAATCACCATTTTATTAAGACAAAAATGAAAAGTGTTTTTACATTATCGCCCCTAGAGGTAAGAACCTCTAGGGGCGACCAGGCACTGTCGCCCCTAGAGGTAAAAACCGTCAAAAGTACCCCTAGGGGCGACCATGCATTATCGCCCCTAGAGGTAAGAGCCTCTAGGGGCGACCAGGCACTGTCGCCCCTAGAGGTAAAACCCTCAAAAGTACCCCTAGGGGCGACAGTACCCTGTCGCCCCTAGAGGTAAGAACCTCTAGGGGCGACCATGCACTATCGCCCCTAGAGGTAGGTACCTCACTTATTGAGACAAAAAATGAATAATTTTTACTAATTTTGAACCAACTTATCGACGCCATCTTACTTTAAAATGCCCAAACTTTCCAAAATTCCGGCTCGAATGTGCTCAAAGGGTTCTTCAGGCATATTCCCTGCAACTTTCAAGCAATTTCATTTTTCGGCCAAAATTGAAAAAAAATGCAAGGGGTTAGCCTTACATTTTTGATTAAATTTGGCCAAAAAAATGACTTTTCTCCAAACAACTCAGAAATGTCTGGGAATGCAAGAGGAGCATCAATCGACCTTTAAACACTGAACATATTGAAGATTTGGGCAAAAATCACCGACTTATTGAGACAAAATGTAATAATTTTTGCTAATTTTGACCCAAATTAGCGACGCAATCTTTCTTTTAAATGCCCAAACTGTCCAAAATTCCAGCTCAAATGTGCTCTAGGGTTCTTTAGGCATATTCCCTGCAACTTTCAAGCAATTTCATTTTTCGGCCAAAATTCCAAAAAATGCAAGGGGTTAGCCTTACATTTATGATAAATTTGGCCAAAAATTGTCTTTTCTTCAAACAACTTAGAAATGTCTTTGAATAAAAGAGTAACATTAATCGACCTTCAAACACTAAACATATTGAAGATTTGGGCAAAAATCTCCATTTTATTAACACAAAAATGAATATTTTTTTTGCACTGTCGCCCCTAGAGGTAAAAACCGTCAAAAGTACCCTTAGGGGCGACCGTACCCTGTCGCCCCTAGAGGTAAGTACCTCTTGGGGCGACCATGCACTATCGCCCCTAGAAGCAGGTACCTCACTTATTGAGACAAAAATGAATAATTTTCACTTGTTTTGATCCAAATTATCGACGCAATCTTACTTTAAAATGCCCAAACTTTCCAAAATTCCGGCTCGAGTGTGCTCCAAGGTCCTTCAGGCATATTCCCTGCAACTTTCAAGCAATTTTATTTTTCGACCAAAGTTGAAAAAGATTTCAAGGGGTAAGCCTTACATTTTTGATCAAATTGGGCCAAAAAATGACTTTCCTCCAAACAACTCAGAAATGTTTTGGGATGCAAGAGGAGCATCAATCGACCTTCAAACACTGAACATATTAAAGATTTTGGCAAAAACCACCGACTTATTGAGACAAAAATGAATAATTTTTGCTAATTTTGACCCAAATTATCGACACAATCTTTTCTTTTAAATGCCCAAACTGTCCAAATTTCGGCTCAAATGTGCTCTAGGGTCCCTCAGGCATATTCCCTGCAGCTTTCAAGCAAATTCATTTTTTGCCCAAAATTGAAAAAAAACGCAAGGGGGTTAGCCTTAACATTTTTGATCAAATTGTGCCAAAAAATGACCTTTCTCCGAACAACTCAGACAAGTCTTTGAATGCAAGAGGAACATCAATTGACCTTCAAACACTAAAAATATTGAAGATTTTGACAATAATCACGAACTTATTGAGACAAAAAATGAAAAATGTACACTAATTTTGACCGAAATCTTCTGAGTACCTCTAGTAGCGGCCATGCACTATCGCCACTAGAGGTACGTACCCCTAGGGTAGATCATGTACTTTCGCCCCAGAGGTAAGTACCTCATTGATATTTGGAAAGACAACAAAAATATAACAACTTGACTGATTTTACCTTTTTGAAATCACTTTTAAATTTTATTTCAAACGGTATTCCTCACAGAAAATGCTTGAACATTATCTACAATTTCGATTGTCTTGAATTACACTGCCATTCTAACAACATTAGCAGGCCCGATTTTAACTTTTATGGGGGGAAGAATATCACTCAGGAAATTTCATTAAACTTCTTGGGTGAAAAGGGACACTTCACATGGGATTTGGATGACACACAAGGCCACGGTAACAGCTAATTTACATATGCACAATGTGTACAAGCATTTGATGTTATTTACATAAAAAAATGTTTTTATTTGTCCTTGAGTAAATAAATAACTTATTACTTACACATGCATGGCATTGAAATGAATGCAGCGTTTTTTTCTGTCGCTGAACTTCAAACATTAAAGAAAAAAATAGAAAAGAAAACATCACCACAAATGTGAATGACCTTTTAAATCATTTAGGGAGCACATAACTACATGTACAACACACTTGTTTACTATTGTTCTTTACAATGAAAAAAGTAATGTTCTATCAACATTTTAGACATGAAATATTTTTGCCAGATATTTGAGACGGCGAGTCAAAAAACATGAAAACATGATGTCGGGACCATTGTTTTACTGAAACACATCACATAGGGATGTGTGTGAATGGTTTTCACTTTGCTGAAAGAACGCACATCTTTTTTTGTGATCCGTGGACAGAACTTTAAAACGGTGGTTGTGTTTAAAATTCTGTAACTTGAAAAGTGATTTGAATGATTCTTGTACTAAAAGAAAGCTTATGGATTGGGCTTTCATATCCTATATTTTGAAAGTGCTACATGCAGAACTTCACTAAAACAATAGTCCCGACATTTGGGTTTCGTTTTTGTTTACTCACCCTGTACAGGTACACATGTATGGTACCAATATGCTATTTATACTTTGAATAAGAAAACATCCTGAATTCAGCTAATAAGCCAGTTCCACATCTCGATGAAGTAGTTCACATCAAAGGTCATTCTGGATAAAATCGCTGATGTGATATACGCGATGTTACACTGACACCCATTCTGCTTGTAATTAACGCGCGAGCGCAGTGCGCCCGTCTCCCTGCGCGTTCGTGCGCCTTCGATTATCCCAAAGGACCCGTGACCCATATCATTGTGCGCATTCACAGTTGAAGAACTGGCTTATAGCAGGAAGACTTGCAGTACATTGCTGGTGTTAGATGGCAACCACCCAGTAATATGTGGTTATATAGAATTCAATTTTTTCCATCACATTCATAATTTTTCTAAAGAAAGGTTTTAAACTCTGACTTGCCTGGTTTGTTTCCAACACGGCGTGTTTCCTTGTACATGTATAAACAATGGTAAAAAATACTGTTACAAACACTGAATTAACAAAAGCCTATACGGAGACGTCCCTCGCTCGCAATTTTCAGAAGTAAATGGATTTGGAGACGAGTATATTGGAGGGATCGTTTTTCAAGATGGCTACTTTTCCGCTTTGGGGAAAATAAGGGTCGTCTTCTTTGGGTGAGAATATCTCGAAAAGTCAATGGTCAACCCACCAAAAAATGAAAAGAAAATGAAAGATGACATTTTGATCATCATTTTTCTGTGCAGCTTAAATACATGTAAGAGTTCTGAGTATTTTTAGAAGAATTTTGAAGTATGCGCATTTAGCACTAGTGTCTATGGGAATTTGATTGCAGGGTTGCACCCTTATGGAACTCACGGTGGTCACTTTCATGTGTTATACAGTGTAAAACAGGTTGTCCCACAAAAAAATCTAACAGTCAAAACCAATTAATTAAGGTATATTGCATGTGGGTTTTGGAATATTTTCAAATTACCTCTTAAAGTCAGATAACCAATCTACCGTAACACTTGCACCTGAAAACAGGCAACACCCCTGAGGTTTGGTTGCTTTGCCTTCTTGATGATGCTGCCATATCTGTGCTCTGATTGGCCTGTTTCTCTGGTACACTTTGCGCCAAGCGGAACGCAGTGCATAGAAATACATGCCTTGGTCATGAATCTTTAAATTAAGTTGACCTCCACGCCACAGGTCAGTAGGCTGACAACACGCTAGTAGATCTCATATTCTAAATTGCCAATTTTTTTTTTAAACTGCGTTTAGTCCAACTCGGAGTGAAGTTCAGAGTCTCACGTTCTGCCGTCAGTGTTTTGATGGTCTTGGCTTACTTGAGTTTGATTATCGGGAAGATGTTGTGAGTGCCGAAGTCAAACTCGGGGGGTACTTTGGAGTCCCTCTTGTGGCCTCCCATGAGCAGCTTGATGACCACCACGTTAGTCTTGGCCACCCGGATCAGTGCATTGAGCTGAAATGAGAAAGGGAAAAACGAATGGGTGTACTTGAGTCCATCACAAGTCCTGACAAGTCCCAACAAAACCCATCACAAGTCCTCAAGACTCAAATTAAATCATCAGTTGGCCTGTGACAGAAGGATTCCTTTGTTATAAGATTTTAGGCTTTGCATGGCGGAGTATAAGTATCGTTTCGGTTTGCGGTAACACCATGTGGTAATAACTACTGCTTGTAGAGATTTTTTTCTAAAAAGAACTTGTCTGCTTATTATCAACTTTTGCTATTAAAGTAGTAAGAGACTGTAGAGACCAAAGACAAGTTCTTTAGAACTTAAAGCAGGACTGTCCTTATCAGATCTAAAACTACTTAGCGAAAGTTGATAATAAGCACGACAAATTCTTTTCGGAACCAAATATCTACTACCAGTAGTTATTATCACATGGTGTTATCGCAAACCGAAACAATACTGATTCCTTTGATATTTATTCCCTGAGCTTGTAGAAAGGACTTGTGTTTTCCTGGTGACTTCACACGTGATGGACTTGTGATGAAATCAACTACCACACTGGTGTTATGGATTGTTTTTGATTTTTAACTCACTGGAAGAGGTAGTGGCACATTGAATATTGGGTTTTTCCGTTTATCAACATTATTTTATTTAGCAATGTTTACTCAGCGCTGTCCAAGGGATTGCGGGGCTTTTGTCTTTTACAAGCATGCTTGGTGGGACTCGACCATAATATGCTTAGCGGTTGAGTAGTTGAAGACAACTGCGCTTGTAAGCAAGAGGTTCTTGATTCGAGTCCCACCCGAGCAAACTTGTGAATTTTTTTCACGAGAGCTCCACTGTGTGGAACACACCAAGCGCGTGTACTGGTTTTTGCATGTTAATGTATGTTTCACAAGTCAGTCACAAGTCAGTAACAAATCATCAAGTTTTAATTTAAGTGAGAAGTTATTCAACTCAACGTTGGGTAGGGCATTTTCCATTGTTCATTTCTTGTTTTTTGTGATCTGGGCCAAATTTGACGGCTCTGCTGACCACAGCATTCCGCGCTTACGATCACTATTCAGTGCTAACAGCGTTAGCAGAAAAACTCTTCACTAACCCTGTACAGAATCCTTAGTTACGGGATGTACGCACGCGTGTAAGCCAAAATTTCTCGCTAAGGCCAAAAAAATAAATAAATCGGTCTCTGGTCAGCGCGCGCGTCGATTTTAATCATGCGCGTCGATCTTTTTTTTTCCAAAATGTTCCGCGGTACCTCCAACAACCCTTATTTCCGCACCTCCTCATTTTTTTTTACCAAATAGCACCAAGGAATGGGAAATTGCACCAAGGCAAATGATCGAAAGCACCAAGGCAAATTATGGAGGACACCAATGTACATGAGGACACCAAAAAGCAAGAGTACCCCACCTTGTCTGTACAATCCAAGCTTGAAAAAAAAAAAAAACGAAAAAAAAAAGCCGCGTGGCCGCGTCAATTACGGAACTTTGGTCTGACCAGAGACTGAATATTTTTTTTTTTTGGCCTAACCCGTGAAATACGCTTACCATAAGCACAGGCCTTACTGCTAAAGTAAGCAGGGATTTTTCATCAACGTTAAGCAGAGCCATGAAATTAGGTCCTGGACCAAATTTTACCTCTGGTGTAAGGTTGGGGATTTTCTCCAGCATCGACGACGCCTGCATGAAGAACTTGTAGGCCGTGTAGTACACATCCAGTGGGGTCCGGTTGGCGTCCATCTTACGGATATCCGTCATCTCGCAGAACGTCTCGTACTGCACGAGGGGTGGGGTCAGGACCGCGCTGAAGGCGGCGAAGCGGTGCTCAAAGCGCACCTTCTCGTTGTCAAACATGCAGTTGGGGCGCTTGAGCTTACCGTCCATGGTGAAACCCACCACAGCCTGTGGCGAAAGAAAATCATGAGAAGTTACAATCACGTTTATTAGCCTTTTTAAAAATCAGGATAAACATTTGTAGAGAACTTTGTTTAATTTTGTGAGATTCTAAATCATAACTCATGGCACCATAACTCTCCCAGATCTCCCCAGAGTAACTGGACGCTTGATGCTTGTTGAACCCTTAAACCTCTTTCTAGCGTACGTAATCCTTACTTGCAGCCGAGAAGGTGACTTGCGAAGAACGCGGCTACAACTTGGTCGAGCCGAAGGCATGTAAAGGTGCCTTTGGGGAAGTTAAAATGATTATATTTCCACGTGGCACATAGTTTTACAGACTCATGAATCATTTATTTTCAGCATGGGGAAATTCTCAACTATCCTTTTTTTTTTTTCAATTTATTTGAAACTCACACTTATTTCCATACCAAATGAGAAATTTAAGCAGAGAATACATGAATAAGTAAATGTCTCGAAAGTAAGAAAAAAACATGAGTAGTGAAAAACATGTCTGGTTGTAAATTGAAATAAAATATCAAGGTACCTTGTAGTATGCTGAGCACAGGAGCTGATAGGACTGCGCGATGGCTAACTCCCGCTCAAACGGTCGTATCTTGCGTCGTTTGCTCTTCTTCTTGTTGCTGCGACTTTTGGCTGTCGGTTCGGTGAACGCCGCCTCGTTGTCCTGTAACATGCTGTCTGCCCTGGTGATGGTGGAGATGAACCAGGCGTAGAGGAAGTCTGCCAGATACCTGCAAAGGAGGGTACGGTAACAGTATACAAATATAACATGGTTTGAGGGTGGATAGTCCATATTAGCTCCCCTCGGTATTGGAAGTTCACAAACTAGTTCCCGAGGCGAAATACCTCATACCCCGGTATATATTCAGGTACCAAATTTTGCTGTTTCAGTATTCACCTCACAGGCATACAATCTTCAGAGAAACTGTTCAGCTAACCAGAAGAATATTGCTCAACCTCAGAAAAGTTCTTTTGCAATACAGTAACTTCCATGGGCTTATACTGCATTGTGGACAACTTACTTTTAGTTGAAGAGGCATATTTATTGTCCACAATAATCTCCAATTCAGCATCATTGAGCTCGGGAAAACACTAGTTAACATTTACTGTGCCGCTATCTTTTCATGTGTAGCCAGGGGCAGGGCAATCTATGTAACCTATGTGACAGTCTACTACGCATGCGTGTGCTCTTGGTAAACAGCAAAATTAGCATCCGACACGCGATGTTGAATGGACCAGTGAGAATTCGGCTCTCCATCATGAATATGTATGAGTCATAGTCAATAGATGCTATGTTGTTGAACTCGAACTTTTCATATACAAGAAATGTACTCGTCGATGGTCATCAAAGGAGCCACAAACTTGATTTCAAACTGAGACTTATTTTGTGCCAATAAATGTCCCTTTGTAGAGTCAAATTTCATTTTTATTAGCGAAACACACAACTAGAGTTTATTTTAGGAGGTTAAGTGCTCAGATTTTATGTTTTGTGTGAAAGGATCATGCATTGAGTCCCACACTGAGTTCATTTCATGGACCTTTTAATGGATAAATAAATTTTAGCAGATATAAGTTTGAAAAAAAAAAAAACACTTCTACAATTAATTCCCCTGTTATAATCCTTGTACTCAATGCACTCTGTCACAGTGTACAGTGGAACGTCGCTATACCAAACACCGCTATACTGAACATTTGGCTATACCGAACATCGTCCTTGGCTCCCGATTTTTGTGTACAAAACGTACCAAACATTGTTGTTCAAAAAATGTCAACTGAAGAGCGACAAGTGGCTATTATCTCCCCAAGGAATAGAAGGGGAAAGCCACCCATTGCAGTAGGTAGTAAGCTCAAAAACTGTGTAATTACATAATTCAATAGTCGGCACTTGTTCAAAGTCGTCTTTCAATAACTACCAGGGCATGCAGGATGAAGTTCTGAAGGGCGCTTTTTATTGAAAAGTGAGTACCAGAGCACCAGCAGCTTAAAATCACTATATCGAATGATAGCTATTACGAACAATTTCTGTGGATCCCGCGATGTTAGTTATAGCGGCGTTCCACTGTACAAGTATGGTTTTACGATAGAGGACAGACACACAAAGGGAGAACAAAAGACCCTTTCAGTCCTCGAGCGTTGGGTCTTTTGTTGAAAACAGTCCTCGATCTTATGGTTATGTGCTTTGTCTAAAGGAGAGTGTTATATTACAGTGACAAAGGGAAACACAAAGCATTGTCCTCGGGCGTACAGAAATTCCTGACTGTGTGTACATCTTCGCATCAGAGCAACAAGGTGGTAACTTGATTCTGCAACAAAGTCCTATCTCGTGCGAATACGCTCCGTTCAACAAGATCATATCTCGCGTATCGTGACGTCCATTGACTTTGTATGTACATCCGGGATATTTTAAGTGAGATACAACCTTTTGACATTGAAAACTCACGTTTCACGTACATGACACCCCACGCCATTTTAGGAGATACGACCTTGTTGCACGGACACCACGACATGTACATAGACACAGTCACCATTGAGTGTGTATTCACAGTGGACACCTTTGAACCTTCTTTTTCTGTGTCAAAAAATTATGGAAAAAAATCCCACATTGATGAGGGTACATACCAGTAGATGTAGTGATACTCATGTGCTGCGTACAGCTCCAGTTCAAATCCCGACAGGACATAACGTATCATGGTGCGCAGTGTGTGGTACATGACCCAGCTGCCGAAGCACGCTTGATGGGGCCACTTGGGATCCGACTTGGTCATGAAGGACAGGACGCCAGCGTCAACCTTCTCAGCCTGAGGAAAAATGCCCGATGAGATAAATATACGTGATGCTTTCTGTCAAAACCAGACACTTCTCGAAACAAGGATATATGACCAAAACAAAACGTGCGACAACATTTGTTTTGATCAAGCTTGCAACTGGGAATTTAGGAAAAAAAGGGGGAAATTCTAAACCACACAAGACTTTGTACAGTGTTTTGCAATTTGTAATGGCATTTGTGAGAAGTTACAAATGAGGAAAGCAGCAGATTCGAAGAAAAGTTGCATGCCTGTTTGATTTCCAGATTAGCAAATTCATAATTCTAAATGTCTAAAATATATTTTACAAGTTTGAGATTGTATTTTTTTAATGATTTGTAAAGGTGTAACAATTCCAGAAATGCATAACCCATGACAAGTTAAGTTTTTATTTAAGTAATTGTAATTAAAGATACGTTGGAAGGAATACTTGCCTCATCTTGGAGATTGGCAAGTTCTTCGAGGACTTGGCCCAGTTTGTCCCGCTGTCTGGCCCGGTTGTGGCCCTGTATCTGTACTATGGTGCACATGGGCTGTGAAGGAAGTAAAATAAACAACACTTGAAGTTGATGATTGTAATATCTTGTGACTGATTTTTTGGTGCTATTTTAACACTTGATAGATAGGGTTGGTTTGGGCCGAGTTGGGTTGGGTTGGGTTGGGTTGGATTCGGTTGGCTTAGGTTGGGATGAGTGAAGTTGGTTGGTTGGGTAAGGCTTGGCTGGGCTGGGCTGGGCTGGGTTAGGCTGTGTTGGGCTGGGTTGGGCTGGGTTGGGCTGGGTTAGGCTGGGTTGGGTTGGGCTGGGTTGGGCTGGGTTGGGCTGAGTTGGGCTGGGTTGGTTTGGGCTGGGCTGGGTTAGGCTGGGTTGGGCTGGGTTGGGCTGGGCTAGGCTGGGTTGGGCTGGGTTGGGCTGGGTTAGGCTTGGCTGGGCTGGGTTAGGCTGGGTTGTGCTGGGTTGGGCTGGGTTGTGCTGGGTTGGGCATGGTTGGGCTGTGTTGGGCTGGGTGGGATGGGTTGGGCTGGGCTGGGCTGGGCTGGGCTGGGCTGGGTTGGGCTGGGTTGGGCTGGGTGGGCTGGGTTGGGCTGGGCTGGGCTGGGTTGGGCTGGCTTAGGCTGGTTGGGCTGGGTTGGGTTGGGTTGGGTTGGGTTGGGCTGGGTTAGGCTGGTTGGGCTGGGCTGGGTTGGGTAGAATTTGGCTTGGTCGGGTTGGGCTGGGTTGGGTTGGGTAAAATTCGGCTTGGTTGGGTTGGGCTGGGCTGGGCTGGGTTGGGTTGGGTTGTGTGGATTTGGTTGAGTTGGGTTGGGTTAATTTGGGTGGAATTGGGCTTGGTTGGGTCGGTCAGAATGAGGCTGGGTTGGGTTGGGTTGGGTAGAATTGGGCTTGCTTGAGTTTGGTTGGTTTAGGTTTGATTGGGTTGTGTTGGGTCACATTTGGTAGGGTTGGTGGGCCAATTTCAAGAGTTTAAAGGGAATAGATCCAAGAATGAAGCCTACCCTGACAGCGTGTAGCAGCAGTGAATCCACCATCTCCTTGACTTGAGGGTTGTTGTAGATCGGCGACCTTGGCACGAGCGCTGGCGGGTACACAAAGGATCGGATGCAATCTCTCAGGGATTCCTGCACCAATTCCACGCCAAAGACCTTCTTGTTGTTGAATGGGAGAAAGAGGAGTTGCAGAACGGAGCGGGACAGTACACAGGGACACTGCTTGCTGACCTCACCGGTGAAATCCTGTCATGCAATCAAATACCACATTTCATTCAATCAAAATCCTTCGAAATCTCCTTGATGGTTTTGAATGGTTCAAAGTGAATATCATTGATCTCCATAAAGAGTGGATAGGACACGCGTATACTTGCACGCAGTGAAGATTCGGAAAACGCGGACACAAACAGCTGGGTAGTACAGTGAGGATTTAACGTTTGCGACCGCGCATGCGTGACGTGCGCATGCTGTATGGTCTGTGACGAACGCATTTCAAACTTTCAAACCCTCACCGATGACTACGCGTGCGTGCACAAGATGGAGGGCGCTGTGTCCTATCCAGTCTTACTAATGGAGATCAATGGTGAATAAACAACATTTGCAAAACATAAAAAACCTACCAAATTGTTATGAAATACCTTGATGGACTGTTAGTGATTGACAGTCTAAAGCATCCTTTAAAATCATGGCAGCTGGTGTGCTGTCTTTTCAAGAAAGTGGTATTTTTGTATCAATTTCCAACGCTGGTCAGGCGACCATCATTGGAAAAAACCTGGTTTTTTTTTCAAATACTGGCCCCAATCTATCATATTGAGTAAGTCCGCATTTTGTTTGCAATCGATTACACACCTGTGAGTGGGTACAAGCCAGCTAGACTTGTTCCCTGACCTTACAATTCCCTGACGTTTATAAAATGCTCCGTTTCATCTTACTGGGGTCAGAGAACCAGACTACAGGAAAACAATTGTTTTCTTGATGTCTCCAGCATCTACGAACACAAAACTCCAAACAAGGCAGTGTAACAATATTGCCATAGAATATACTATCTCCCCAAATCCATCCATTTCTGAAAATTACGGCAAAAGCAAATGTTGTTTATTCCCTTTAAAATTTAACACCTAACACTCATTTCAAACTAGAATTTTAAAAAGTCCTGCTGAACAAAGTTATTCCTAAAATTTTGAGTTACGTTTGAGATTTTAAACAGTTAGGAACAGCGACACTCGAAAGTTTTAAGAAATTGAACATCTGAATCGTTCATAATGACTCCAGAGTCTACTTGATGGGTATTAACCCTAACCCCCTTGGGTATTTTTACTAGAAAGTATCCTGAATCCGCAAAAATCCATCAATTTTGCCACGCAAAAAAATATTGGTTGACAGTGAGTCCATCAGAATCCACCAATTAGACGGGAGTAAATCTGTTGGAATCCTGAATCCATCAAAGTCAACCAACTGCTCAATATGGAGGTATCCTGAATCCATCAAAATCCTGCAGTTCCGCTAGGCTAACAATCCTGAATCCATCAAAATCCCCTAGTTTTTGCAATATGGAGGTATTCTGAATCCGCCGAAATCCCCTGAAACAGGTGTGTGGCTTTTGATGGATTCAGGTACGTTGAGGTTAATGAAATCTATCAATGCAGGTGAGGGGTCTTTCTTGGCTTACCATGATGGCATGGAAGGAGTTTAGATTGGTCACCTCGCAGACTGTCCTTAACCTCCCTACCAGACCCTCAAAGTACGTGACGGCTGCGGCACGGTCAATGATCTTGGAGTATCGAGGGAAGGTTGGTGGCAGAAGTCTCTGGTTGACCAGGGGCTCGAAGCCCATGATCAGCGGGAAATCTAGGGATAATTACGAGTCACTGGTTAACCAATGGCTCAAAGCCCGTGATGAACGGGAAACCCAGGGATAATTGGGGAGTCTGAGGCTGAGCAACGGCTCAAAGCCCATGATCAGTGGGAAATCTAGGAATAATTGCGAGATTTACTGGTTAACCAACAGCTCAAAGCCTGTGATGAACAGGAAACCCAGGAATAATTGGGAGTCTGAGGCTGAGCAACGGCTCAAAGCCCATGATCAGTGGGAAGTCTAGGAATAACTGGGAGAATCACTGGTTAACCAACAGCTCAAAGCCTGTGATGAACAGGAAACCCAGGAATAATTGGGAGTCTGAGGCTGAGCAATGGCTCAAAGCCCATGATCAGTGGGAAATCTGGGAATACTGACGAAGTCTCTGGTTAACCAGAGTAACTCATGTATCCATATTTTCAACTGCTGTGGTCTGAGCGGTCTGTAGTTGGATACCTAGAGGGGTGGACTTATAGATTATAGGGTACTGGGTTGATGGGGTAATTGGGTACAGGAGTGATGGGTACTGGGCTGCTTGGCTAATGAATGGGTACCAGATTATAACTGTGACTCCTTTCTTTCCATCTGCACTGCTTTGAGTGGTTGCTAGTTGGATGCCTAGATGGATGGATTTCTGGATGATTGGGTACTGGGTTAATGGAATAATTGGGTACTGGGTTAATGGAATAATTGGATACTGGGTTAATGAGTGGGTACAATATTCTGTGACTCTGTCCTTTCATCTTTACTGCTCTGAGCAGTCTATGTGGGATGCCTAGATGGATATATTCCTGGATGATGGGTACCGGGTTAATGGGGTAATTGGGTACTGGGTTAATGGAATAATTGGATACTGGGTTAATGGAATAATTGGATACTGGGTTAATGGAATAATTGGATACTGGGTTAATGGAATAATTGGGTACTGGGCTAATGAGTGGGTAAAATACTCTACATGTGACTCTGTCCTTTCATCTGTACTGCTCTGAGCAGTCTCTGGTTGGATGCCCAGATGGATATATTCCTGGATGATGGGTACCGGGTTAATGGGGTAATTGGGTACAGGGTTAATGCATTGATGGATGTTTGGATAGTAGGCTAATGAATGTGTACAATATTCTACCTGTGACTCTATCAGTCCCATCTGTGTTGTTCTGAGCGGACTCTGGTTGGATGCCTACATGTAGATGGATGGATTTCTGGATGACTGGGTACTGGGTTAATGGGATAATTGGGTACTGGAATAATGGGATAATTGGGTACTGGGCTAACAAAAGGGTACAATATTCTACCTGTGACTATATCCTTTCCATCTGCACTGCTCTGAGCAGTCTCTGGTTGGATGACTAGATGGATGGAGTTCTGAATGATTGGGTGCTGGGTTGATGGATCATGATTAGGTACTGGGTTGATAGAGTGATTGGGTACCGTACTGGGTTACTGGGATAATTGGGTACTGGGATAATGAGTAGGTACAATGTTCTACCTGTGACTTTGTCCTTTCCATCCGTGTCACTCTGAGCGGTCTCTGGTTGGATGCCTAGATGGATAGATTTCTGGAAGATTGGGTGCCGGGTTGATCATTCATAAGTTAGTTGGGTACTGGGTTGATGGGTTAATGGGATAATTGGGTACTGGGCTAATGAGTTGGTTCAATGTTCTACCTGTGATTCTGACCTTTCCATCTGTGTCACTCTGAGCGGTCTCCGGTTGGATACCTAGATGATGGATTTCTGGATGATTGGGTGCTGGGTTGATCATTCATGATTAATTAGTTGGGTACTGGGTTGATGGGCTAATTGGGTACTGGGCTAATGAGTAGGTACAATGTTCTACCTGTGACTCTGTCCTTTCCATCTGTGTCACCCTGAGCGGTCTCTGGTTGGATGCCTAGATGGATGGATTTCTGTATGAGCGGAAGTAGATCGCCAGCCTGGATAAGAAGCTTCCGTGCTTCCTCCACTCCCTGCTTTACCTGCAGGACAATTGAAACAAAGAAAAAGGCGTAGATGTGTATGTGAGTTCAAAGTGGTCAAAATGAGAGTATTCTGGCGGAGGTCAAAATGAGAGTTTGTGGGTATTACGAAAAAGAATAAACTTCTCCTTACAGTACTGTTTGCTGCACTTCAATCAGACATACCGCTGACAAGTTATGGCTGTTTACAGTTTGCGTTTATTGACATGTCAAGAGAATAAAATTCTGAGAAAAAAGGCTTTTGAAGTTTTAACTGTTTAGTAGCCAAGTAAATTATAGACGACGATAGATTTGATTTCACAATCTTTATATTTTTTTCTTTAAAATATGTGTAGCATACATATAAAAGATTACAAAAAAAATCAATAAATCTGAAATACTGAAAAACAAAATGAGCCCATTCGGGTTTTGCATTTTTCTCCAGTACGGCCTGTGCCCTAGTCTAAAAATCACCTGTTATCCACGAAGCCAAGTCCTGTATAACGTCTGATATGTCTAGACATGCAGATATATGCAAGCCACGCGCCAGCCAATCCGAGTCGACTTTACTAAATCATGACATCATTTCATTCCCAAATCAGAACAATTCGAATGCAGTGTTTTGTAATACAACAACAGCCGGGCGCGAAATCGCATTACATGATACAGAGCGAGTGACAATTATTTTTTTATCCACTGTCTATGACGCGCAACGGGTGAATGACCGAAGACCTGATACAGAAAGCGCCCGCTGATTGGTCAAAATCCAGGAGGTCAAGAGGTGGGGTCTTGCCTAATTAATAGACCATGGCTTTCACCATGGTCTATTACATAGACTACCTTTGCCCAGGTCCATCTTATTTTGCCAGAGCGCCTCACATAATAACAAACTTTGTCTTATGGGGTACGTGCCAATGCTAGCGAGGGCGCTGTTTGACTTCCTGCCAAGAGCCAAGGGGATTTCTAACCTCCGGTCACTTCACTTAAGGCTTCATCTCTGGCTCCAAAATCATTTTAAAGCCTAGTCCAAACAAAAGGAGATTCTCTAACCCTTGGCCCTGATATTGTAGGATTTGGTGGTCTCAATTCATATCCAGGACGAGTTCTGCAGCCAATTTCATGAAACGTTAATTTATGGCGTATCTCAACTTGCACAACATCTTATTGTGTAAGTTGCGCAACATTTCACGCTGCGCAGCATTTCACTTATGACACATTTCGCGAAAGTCGGATAGTGCATAATGCCGCGACTTGCGCAATAAATTATGGCGTAACTTGCACAATCATTTTAGGTGGCATAAGTTGTGACATAGCAACTGAAAATGACATTTTTACCAGCAAATCGGAACTGTCATGGAGCCCGCTATAGCACAACTTATCAAAGTTGATACAAGACACTTACAACTTTATGTCTGAAGTAAAAGATTGTCTACTTTACTCGTTACATAATTTTTTAGAGTTGCCGAATGATTCTGAAGAAAGTCGGACAGAATGCTGTTCAAAATGACCGGCTGAGGTGATCCAACGACTGTTTCGTAAATGCTGTTTTTGTCCTCGTCCATGATGTTTAAATTATTTAAAACTTTGCACAGCTACACCAAGTTTCGTGAAATCGATAGTAAGTTTATTGCCCAGCTGCACAACAAAGTTGTTGCGTATTAAAGTCTAATGCACGTCGCAAGCTGCGCACTTTTTCGTGAAATCGGCTGCTGGACAAGTTGCAGACATTGCATCGGGTATAAATTGCAGAATTCTGAACAATTGCCCTGCAATCTTCCTGCAATGAAGTCATCAGTCTTGGCGAGTCAAGCAGTTGCTAATGAAAACTTTCCCGGAACATGTCCGTAACAAATGCAGAGCTTCTTCCAGACAAAGTAAATGATTCTACCTGCAACTTGTCCAGAAATCGTCCCGGATATAAATTGAGACAGGCCCTTACCAAAGTAGAACAGAGACCAATGTTGGGCAAGCGTCCCTCAACTATGGGGCCTTAAAATCTCCTGAAATCAAAGCTGGAGACAAGAACACGTTATTACCTCTTTTTTGTTGGTAGCTAGGAGAGCTGTGTAGAACATCCGGCAGAACTTGAGTCGCCATTGAACGGCTAGGCACTGCTCATGCTGATAAACAAGATAAGAGTCTAAGATTACATATCAGTGCTAAACGGCTCATTCTACAAATTTGGGGTCCACATTTTTCCTGTCCCTGTTACATCTGACACGGACAAGTTTGTAAATTCTGGATGCACCCCAGCCACTCCTTAATGCCTTTCACCTTATGGGCTCCGTGCGCCAGTGAAAGAGGGCGCCGTTTTACCTAGCAACTTTTACCTTTTACCTGGGTGGGACATTTAGCTGGTTGACGTGCACCGTTCCTTGTTTGTGACGCACGTACAGCAGGGGATTTGTACTATGTACACGTACACGCAGTGGTACGGCCGCGCGTCGCGGCAAAATTGCAGTCAGGCAAGATGGCGTCGGTCGGTCACCCCCAACTGTACTTTCTTTGCCGGTGAGGGGGTACTTGTGAACGGAGCGGATTGGGATTGTGAAAAGCAAAATTCCTACGCAGCATATAAGAGAAGTTGGAACTCATTCTTAAAAGTGGCAAATTAACAAGTTTAGAGATAACAGCTAGGGGCAGGAAAAATGTCACACCTTGGCCACTAAAGTGATAGAATGACCCATACGATAAAGCAGAACAGGCGTATGTGTACATGTATAAACATTCAAATCATGGACCTTGAACAATGGACCTTATTCACCAGGAAGTCATTTTTGTCGTGTTCCCTGAATGTATTTTATAAATTGTGAACTGTTGAAGGGGATGGTGCCAGACTATTATGCATTCTAGCCTCACTTAAATCTTTTTCATCAATGTGGCTTAAAACATTAGGGTATGTTCGATCACAAATTTAAAATTACTCATCAAAGCAGACCGATATTAATTTAGAATGAACTTTTACCTCGCTTTCAATTTAATATGGCCGACTTGTGAATACGGCTCATAGAGGACAAGAGGGCCCACGATTGACCAAAGGTCCACTTTTGATGTGTGTGTAAAAAACATATGGGGGGTCTTCCTAAAAAGTTAAAGTATAAACAAAAGAGGGACAAAAGAGGGTCCACGATTGAAGGTGTTTACACACTTGTGCGCATACACACTACACATTGATCTGATACACCGCGCCCTCTGGAGACATGCACACAATAGGGAACAAAAGATTGTATACGTCCCCACAGGGCAATTTCTATAGATGAATACGTCATCACAAGGTAATTACTCAAAAACTAGGTATTTCCAAGGTACGTGGATCCGTCGCAAATGGAAGAGATTTATAAAAGGGATATAAGTCCAAATTTCAGGCAAGGAAATTAATTCTGGTTAAAATAAGAGCATTTTGAACCTACACTTTCAAACTCGAAAACTTTACTACATGAGAACAAAGAAATGTCTCCACAAGGAAACAAATTTCAGTGCACACATTGTGCATGAAACATTATGCACAACACGTTTCATGCAAAATGCACCATTTAAAGCACATCACCCGTTACACATTACAAGTCACGACATCTCACAAGACATGCTCCCAGACTTCTCATCATAAGTAAACAGTGTAAAGTGAAAACGGGTACCTGAAGCTCTGTGGCTGCATCCCGCTCCTCACCCTGTCGGCTCCTTGTGCTCTTCAGAGAAAAACATTTTAACAAAATGCATTATGATTTGTGTATCATAGATAATAAAGCAACCCTCCAGCAAATCGTATTACTGACTGCAGTGACCTGAAGTCCTGTCATCTCGATCCCAGCAGAATCTTTACTCAACGGCAAAGTTACAATTCAAACTGTGTTTGTTTTTAAACTTGAAGTTATGCGTTGTAAATCTGTGTTTAATTGGCTCAATAATAAGAATAATAATAATGGCGTCTTGTGTAGCGCTCATGTCCGTCACAAAGTGACGTTCCTGGCACTCTATTATTACCCTGGCTTCAGCACGGCTGCCATTACAGCGCTCATGCATTGAAGGAATTTCTTGCATATAAATTGCAGGATTCTGAATAATTTTTTGTGGGTCGGGTCGTATTGGGTTGTTTTTGGGGAGTTCAGTTCAATTTCGGTTTGGATTTGGTTTATATCTATGTTTTGGGTCGGTTTGGCCTGGTCAGCCCGACCTGATCCACAACATTAGCTAGTGGTAACATGCTGCTCCATGCCATAGAGTACCGAAGTGTGACGTCACCTGCCATTGTTCCGGTTCACTCTGGTTCGCACGCTGATGTCTTCACACAAAGCTGTGCGCTTGGAACAGAATACGCGGTGCGCTTCGGTACGCTATTAGAACAAGGGTAGTCTAGTCCTAGATACAGAGCTTGATTTCAGTCCGGGCCACCATGGTGAAGGGGAAGGCTTGGGATACCTGACACCAACCTTGATTCGTCGGTTGAACTCCTCTTCCACTTCCCTCAGCATTCCCACTACCCTGAGATCAGTCACGTTGTGGGCAAGCTTGAAACCATACGTCATGGACTGAAAATCCTCCTGCAGATAGTACAATGAAATATTAAAGTCAGTACTTTAAAGGTACATGTAATGCACAACATTTGCAAACATTTCTTGATACTTACTTGACTGTACGTGAATAATAGTCTCAACCATCCTGTGAAATCATTGCGACTGGTATGCTGTCATTTTCAAGAAAAGTGGACTTTTGTATCATTTTCCAACGATGGTTTGGCCGAACCAGCATTAAAATTGGACAGGTTTTGTTACAAAGAAAAATGCATCAGATTTCTCTATGTTATTAAACAAAACAAAAAGGAGTAATGTAGTTGAGCCCATCGCAAGACTTCACAACTCCTTCTTATTGTAAAGTTTGTGAACTGTACTGTGACGAACTCAAGAACAGTGATCTAGTGTTAGTCGCAGGTTTCTAAACACTTCCTCGTTATCATTTATGGTGAATTATTGCTTAAAAAACTGAAAAAAAAATTCCGGGAAGGCTCAGAAGTAAATAAGAATCCTGCTACTTATACTCAGTACGATGGGCCTAATTGGGATAAACCTTGCTCCAAGTTATCCCGGATATTTGATGAGATGTCTCCTAAATCAAAACCTACCTCTTCAAACACTGAAGCTCGGACCACTTTGTCCTTGACGATGTCCACTATCTTCAAGACGGCCAAGGTGAAGGCCCTGACACAGCGATCTTCAATCAGGTCAGGATTGTGTGTGTAGAGATTGGTGAAGACAGTCTGGGCAAGGGAGTGACCTTCCAACCATGTGGCCTGAAATAAATATGAAAAATCAGCAATTTTATGGCTCTGGTAATCACAGAAATTTGGCTTACGATCACCATTCTGTGCTAACAGCACAAGCAGAAAAATTCTGTGCAAACCCTGTGCAAATCCTTAGTTATGAATACATGTAGGCCACAATTCCTTGCTAACCTACGGAATATGCTTAATATAAGCATGGAATTTTCTCACAAGTGGAGGGGGGGGGGGGGAGTTGGACACCATCTCTCTATGGTGGTATTTAATGTGGACGATCATGGACACTATAGAACTATATCATGCTAGCACCATTTCAGTCATGTTCCCTGTATCCAATAACAGGACTGATTGATAATTTTTCTGTGTACAAAGGAACCAGACTATTTTTCCATCCAGCCTCGCTCTGGTTACGTTGATTTGAATGGGAAAATTCAAGATGGCCGCAACATGATAATGGTCTATACAGGTGGCACTATTCATCTGCGTAAGTTTGCTGATGGTTTTGCAGGTTAAATTGATAAGATGGTTCATTATTGTGGTGTAACACACCTCCCTTCATACATTCCCCCCCCCCCCCACACCCTCCCTCCCCCTTCTAGTGAAACCATCGAGGGAGGAACACTTACTATACACGCCAGCGTGTTATCTATGATTCCCACCAGTTCGTCAGGCGACAGATCCTTAATCTTGAGGCCGCGGTGTTGGATGGATTGCTCCAAGCCCATGACTTGCCGCTCTGTCTGGTTACACATCATGCCGGCGTCCATCTTGGGATCCATCATCTCTATGGCCGACATAGCCTCAAACAGACCAAAGCTGGATCAATAAGCAACACATAATACCCAATTGAAAAGCTTTATTATTTCAACGAGGGGCGATCTGTTGGCTGTATTACACATACACACAATTGAAATTCCATGTTTTTACATGGAAACGAAAAATAAATCCAGTCAGATATGTATATTGAAAGACTCATGAAATTAATTCAACAAGAAAACAGACAGACCACATATTAAAAAGTACCCTCTAACACCACACATTAATTTGAGAAAGATAGGCAAAATGGAGACAAGTAGACTTAAGACTATGGAAGATAGTAACTCAGTAGCTCATTGTTTTAGTGGCTCTTTGTAGAACCTGATGTTGAATGAGCTGCTGTCTCAAGTGGTTCTCATCTGCTGTTTAAAAAAAAACCAGTTACTTCCATTTTTGGGGATGGTGGCAAAGTTTGTTTTCAATTTTTTTGCAATATCTATGTCACAGGATGAATTACATTAATTCCTTGAAATTTTGAGCACAGTGGAACGTCGCTATACGGAACACCACTATACCGAACATTCGGCTATACCGAACATCATCCTTGGCTCCCGATTTTTGTGTACAAAACCAACTGAACATTGTTGTTGAAAACCATCAACAGAAGAGCGACAAATGGCTATTATTTCCCCAAGGCAATAGAAGGGCAAAGCCACACATCGATGTAAGTAGTAAGCTCAAAACTGTGTAATTACATAATTCAATAGTTGGCACGTGTTCAAAGTCGTCTTTCAGTAACTACTAGGGCGTGCAGGGTGAAGTTCTGAAGGGCGCTATTTATTGAAATATGAGTACCGGAGCACCCGCAGCTTAAAATTGCTATACCGAATGATCGCTATTACGAACATTTTCTGTGGATCCTGCGATGTTCGTTATAGTGGCGTTCCACTGAATAACTTACACAAACAATGCAAGCATTTGCCAAGATTGGTAAATGATTTCCCATTTCCCAGAGGTAACACACTGAGTATACAGTGTTTATACATCGGTGAAGGGCAAAACCTGATATAGACTTACATAACCCTGAAGCAAAATTCCATCTTTTGAATAGATTTCCCAACAGATGTGCATTTCCCATTGCGACTGTTGGGAATGTTTGTGGGAGTGGAACGCAGCCCAGGATCCAAGCAAACACATCTTGGACGCTAGGGTCAAGCCTGATAGGATTTCACTTGTAGCTTTTTGGTGTTTATCTTACTTTGCATCGTGTAAGAGTTCCCCGAGTTGCAGCTGTGATGCTGCATCGGTGAACTCCTCCGTGATGTCAGTCCAGTTATACTTGATTCCTTGTGCCTCTGGAGAAAAACGCAAAAACAGAGGAGGAAAAAGTAAGAGAACGTACAGGGTGAGTAAAAAACAAATGTTGGGACCATTGTTTTAGAGAAGTTTTGCATGTAGCATCATCAAAATCTAGGGCATGAAAGCCCAAGTCATAAGCTTTCTTTTAGTACAAGAATCATTCCAATCACCTATGTACTTTTCAAGTTACGGAATTTTAAATGCAACCACTGTTTAAAGGTTCTGTCCCCGGATCGAAAAAAAGTTCAGTGTTCTTTCAGCAAAACGAAAACAAATCACATAGGGATGTGTGTGAATTGTTTTCGTTTTGATGAAAGAACGCACACCTTTTTGGTGATCCGTGGACAGAACCTTAAAACAGTGGTTGTGTTTAAAATTCCGTAACTTGAAAAGTACATGAGTGATTAGAATGATTCTTGTGCTAAAAGAAAGCTGATGAATTGGGCATTCATATCCTAGATTTTGAAAGTGCTACATCCAGAACTTAAATAAAACAATAGTCCCGACATTTGGGTTTCGTTCTTTTTTTTTTACTCACCCTGTACAACAGATGACAGATCAAGGTACAAGTCTCCCACTGACAAATGCTACGTAGAGATGTATTATCAATGACCCCCCCCCCCAAAAAAAGTGACAAGGTCACTTACAAGACTGATGTGTTCCCTATTAAGACAAGTAAAAAAAATATACAGGTTTCCCGTCCCCACCCGCTTACTTTTCCCCGTCCACCTTCTATTTTTCTCAATTCATACAGTTGCAAATTTTGTTGACATAGATTGTCTTTTCATTTGTTTCCAACATAAGATTGTCTTTTCATTTGTTTCCAACATAATTGTAGCTATGTACAAAAGCTCCTTTGGACATTATTTTATATCAGCAAAACAGAAACGAAAATGAAAGAATCCATTCGATATCGTGGAAAATCTGCCATTTTTTTCCAGCCTATTACAATGAGGTAATTGTGAACTGAACAAGCTTAAAGGGAATATACAACATTTGCAAACATCGAAAAATAAAACTACCAAGTTTTTACGAAATACCTTACTAGGATGTTGGTAAATGACAGTCTAAAGCATCCTGTAAAATTATGGCACCTGGTGTCAAGTCATTTTCAAGAAAATGGTATTTTTGTATACATTTCCAACGGTGGTCGGCCGACCAGCGTTGGAAAAACCTAACTATTTTTCAACCACTGCTCCAAATTTACCATGTTTTCAGTCCAAATTTTGTTTGCTATTGATTACATGTTCATAAACGGGTGCAGGCCAGCTAGACTGGTTCCCTTGCCTTACAATTTTCCATCATCTATGAATTGATCGGGTTTTTTTTGTGGAGTCAGGGAACCAGAACATTTTTGTTTTTCTTGGTTTTTCCAAACTTTTCGAACACAAAACTTCAAAAATGTCAGTTTAACAATATTTGATCTATTATACTAACCCCTCAAATAGTTCATTTCTGAAAATTACAGCAAAAGCCAATGATGTACATTCCCTTTAAGCTGGTAATACAGTTTTGTTTCCATTGAGGAAGTTTGAAGACACAAACCCCATCACATTTGGATGACAACATTTTTCACTGATGAACATGCAAAATGGATACAAACCTCTCATTTGTGTGATATTTGGCCTGTCATCAAAATCAAAACACTCGCTGGATGTCTGGGCAGAAGACTCTTCCCTGCTAAAAAAAAATAAAAAAATAGAAAAAGTGCTAGTTTACACACAATGTTTAACATTTAGATGATTTGTACAAACATTTTGGTTTATTTTGTACGCTACTATACAACACAATACCGGGTATTTAATGTCAGGATCTTTGGATCTTGGAACCAGACTATCAACCAAAAGGTATTATGTACCCAAAAATCATGGGTGAATTCGGTCCTGATCTTTGCAAAATATGATGAAAAAAATTCGCGTTTCTGCAATGAGCAACATGGAGAGGTTACACGTTCATGGGAAGATCGCTTGAGATTGACTTGTGTGTGCGTGTGCACAGCTGGCATCAGATGGGCCAATGATAGTGCTCCTTGATTGGGCACTTCGATTGGGCGCCTTTACGGCGCCCAATCAGTGCGCACTGTGAGTTAGACGCCCATATTGGCCTGTCTGATGCTACCCGCACGCTCACGCGCGCACAAGTCAATGGCAAGCTGACGGAGAGAACCCTTCTAATTCTAGAAGTAGTACTAGCCTACATTATTTTATCATAGGAAACAAAACCTGAAGAAAAAAACGAGTCCCGGTTGTACAGTTTTCGGCGATCGTGAAGTGAAGGGCCCGGTTCCTATAAGGGAACAAAATCCACTTTAAAATTATTAGACCTACCAAACTAGCCTAGTTGGCGACATTCTCAATAAACAGTTATGTCATATAGTCCGTGGGATGAGAGCCCAAAAACACTTTAGTTTTCGAGATACGCGATCTGGTCCGCCAAATTTTATAAAACTTTCCAGACATGTAGTTTATGATGTACCATATCGAAAAAACTTTGTTCACCGATCCACAGTTTGTTTGAGAATGAGAAAATCTGGGATAAAAACGCCGAAAAATTCTGCGTGAGAAAAACATAAGAAATAGCGCCCTCTATTGATACAGTCAGAAACCTTTTCGCACGCAATGAGTGCTTGCAAGTTTTCCCTGCTATTTTAAAACGTTCATCGTTTATTTCTAATATTCAAATTTGTCCATCAACACCGATTTAGTGCACTTCCAATGTATAATTTCGTCTGTTGTCAGACAATTTCAAATTCAGTTCAAGCAAATTCAAACGATGAACACACGTTTTCGTCACTGAGTATTCAATTTCGTCTCGTCTACGCCAAACCTTGTCATTCAGAAATTAAATTCGTCTAATTGATTTACATGTATATAGGACGAATTCGATCACTGAATGCTGCCATTCGGCAACAGCTTAGACAAATTTGATCTGTAATGACGAATATTCTCGACCCGGTGACCTAAAGAGGTTGACCAAACTTTGAAATTGAATGGTAAATGACTAATTAGTTTTGTTAAAAGCGTGTGAAATTTTTCTCGGGCGAAATTGAATGTTAGAGTTTGTGAATGTGAATGAAAAATGTTGTAGAATAGCCGGGAAAATCTGTACTTCTTTCAACTTTCATAACACATGCATATTCTTGATTTGTGTAATTATTTCTCATCACGATGCCAAACCCTTTTTATTATCAGTTTGTCCAACTTGAAATGATCAATGCACTGGAAGTTTTAAGATCGAATGTTATGTATTAGCCACATAAAAATTGATTAGTATAGTTAAACCGTATACCCAGATGAGAATCTCAGGGTAACATCTCTCAGTTCTGCCCCCTTTTTTTGGGGGGGGGGGGGGGGGTGGGGGTGGCATATGTCGAAAATCCACGAGTGAAATTTTTTAACAGACTTTCCCCCTTTTCAATAGCAGTGACGCAGAATTTTAAAAAGGGATTATATACATGTTTATACAACACCTGAATAAATCCCCGTCATCTGATTGGTGAATTGTAGATCACGTGACATATTATTATTCGGTATAATGCACGGTGCGACCATGCGTTATACCCATGCGTTATACCGTTTCACTTTGCGCTTGTTCCATGACGCGGTATTTGCGTGCAAAATGCATGCTGGTGTGCGCGTTCAGCTTAGCGCGTATTGTTCCAAAGAGCCAGCGCTACAGCGTTGGGTTCAAACATTTTCGTGAAGGGGTAGTTCAACATCTTTAAAATCAAAATAAATTGTAGTTTATAATTTACCAATCAAATGACGAGAATTTATTCAGGTGTTGTATAAAACAAATAACGAATGTTTTACGTTTGTGCGATGGAAAGAATAATTTCATTCGGTGACAGATTGAATGTTCTATTTCACTCGGCTTCGCCTCGTGGAATAGAACATTCAATCTGTCACCTCATGAAATTATTCTTACCATCGCACTCACAAACATTCGTTATTTGTATAATATCAGATAAGTTGAAACGTCTTATTACAAAACCACTCAAAAATTACATCTCATATTCTCATACATTAGGTGTACTTAGGTTGATTTGTATTTTTGATTACACTTTTATAAAAAAAAAAAAATGACTCAGAAATAAAAAATAAAAAACCGGCAATAACTACAAATACTTGTTTTTTATGTTCCAGGCACAATGTGGTTAAAGTAATCGTGATTTATTTAATATAATCTAATTATATTTCATTTGTATTTAAGTTTTTGTGGGGGGGGGGCAATTAAAACATGCACAGTTTTCACCCACACAAGAAGAATGGTATTTAGATGACATAAGTTTCTTCAATCTGTACTGAATGAGCACTTGACTGTTTATTTTCAACTGACAAAATGTATACATCACAGACCGATAACATAAATTGTTGTATATATAGGCCTAGGCCTTACATGTCAAAAGTCTCATCTTATAGTGAAGGACCCACTTTAATAAGAAAAGGAACTTATGTTCCCTTACTTGGAAGCTTTGAGTGGCAGCATTACAACTGCTATTATTTTGTTTCAGCTGAGTATCGTTTTTGTTATTTTGAATATTGTTTTAAGAATTGATTCATGCTTTGTTGTTGCTCCATCTATTCCGTTAAAACCACCAGTAAACCCCAACGGCCCACCCGCTTCCTTTTTTTTTGAGGCTGCATCAAATGATAACAATTTTTAAATTTCAGGCATACTTAGGTCATGTAGGTGGTGTGAGATCCTATTCTAAGTGCAGTGTTGGTGGGTCGAGTTTCCGCCGCGCCGTTCGAGTGCGAGAACAATAAAAATACTCGCGTCAAAAACAGACCGCCCGAACTCGTACGGCCATTTCGTGAGAAAAGGTTTCTGACTATGTCAAAGAGGGCGCTGTTTCTTATGTTTTTTCTCATGTAGAATTTTCGACGTTTTTATGCCAGATTTTCTCATTCCCAAACAAAGTGTGAATCAGGGAACAAAGTTTTTTCGATATGGTACACCATAATCTACGTTTGTGAAGTTTTATAAAATTCGGCGAACCAGACCGCATGGCGAGCGAAAAAAGGCCTCGTCCCACGGACTAATAGATAGAGGGCAGGGTTTTCATTTTTGAGGGAAATTTGGGGGTAAAATAACGATGACAGCACGGTGACAACATGCGACCCGAAAATAAAGATGGCGATCACTGTGCGATGTACCGTGAGCATGCACGGCGCGCTGAATCGCAAGGCACAAACCGCGCAGGAAAATTGTGATTTCTACCCTAAGAATCTGTTCAAAATTGCAAAACGGGTGTCATTAGAATTGAGAAAAGTCTGCTTTTGATTGTAATGGTGATTTTTGAGCAATAAAAAACATTTTTGACTCGAATTTGATCAAAACAAAACAGGGGCCCTACACTTCACGATCGCCCATTTTTCTACCTACACGGCACTGAGCCAACATGGCCAAGTTCATATTTCCCAAATATTTGTGTTAATGACTTACCAATAGCAATACCATGGGTAAAGGGTAGTGCAATTAAATTGTACGCATTGTTTTGCTATTTTTGCTAACCGAAACGTTTAATATAATAAGCCTGCGAAATTCATTGTGTGTAATATCGCAACTGGTCAACATAAATTTGTACACGGCCACTCACTGCAAACATTTTCCCCGAAAGGGAAAACACACCGAAACCGTCGAAACCCCGAATCTTACTATACCCTAATTCTTCCCTCATATCCTGAGCTTGAAAATTAAACTCTACACTCTCACATGTCGGCAATGGGCAAACCAAGAGCATTCATTTCACTTACCTGGGGCCTGAAGGCCTGTCGTCTGCCATGATACTAGTGATTAGACTTGTGCAGTAGTCCTACGAGGGCCGGGGAAATGAAGATGGCAACATTTTTTGTTAACAGTTGAACGGACTAGTTGCCAGACTATTTATGCGTTCAAAAAAATTGGGCAAAATTAGATGTTTATGAAAAAAAAATCAAATTGTACTAGGGGTTTACCTTGCATTTTTTTTTTTGCAAAATCGGGAAAAATCAGATGTTTCTGGAAAATTGCAGATTGTATGGGGTTAGTTGTAACTTTATGAAACATTTCAAATTGTAAGGGGTGAACATTGCATATTTTAGCGAAATTGGGCAAAATCAGATGTTTCCGAAAAATTTCAGATGTAAGGGATTAAGGCCAAAAAAAAAAGTCTCCGGTTTCTGGTATGCGCGCGAGTCGCCGTAGCCATGCGCGTCGGCAAAATGAAAAAGTTTTATTTTCAATGAACGATGATGTCTCAAAACCGCCAAACTCACTGGTTTGACTGGAATCCTGCTTATTGCTGCAAAATTTTAACGTGTTTTTAGATGGGGTTATGATCGAGAATAAGCTTTATGTGGCCTCTCTGGTCTCCCATAATATTTGCACTAAGTTTAGTCGGGCACCATTTGCAGTCATCAGCCGACATTTGAAGCAAGAAAAAAACAGGTAAAAAAAAAAAAAAACAAGCCGCGTCGCCGCACCACTTTTTGGGCAAGCTCCATACAAGAAACCGGAGACTTTTTTTTTTTTGGCCTAACCTTGCTTTGAAAAATTTCAAATTGAAAGGGGTTAACCTCGCATTTTTTTTAAAGCGAAAATCGGAAAAAATCAAATGTTTCTGGAAAATTGCAGATTGTAAGGGGTTAACCTTCCTTTTTGAATAAGATTGGGGAAAATTAGATGTTCATGAAAAAAATTCAAATTGTAAGGGGTTAACCTTGCATTTTTTTTAAAGCAAAATAGGACACAATCAGATGATTCAGCTGGAAAATTGCAGATTGTTAGAGCTTAACCTTGTATTTCTAGCAAATTTGGGCAAAAAGAAATGTTTATGAAAAAATTTAATTGTATACCTTGTATATTTAGTAAAATTTGGCAAAATCAGATTTGTATGAAAAATCTAAGATGGTTGCTTTTTTAGCAAAATTTGGAGCATATTTTACAAAAAATGGGGCAAAATCAGATGCTTCTAAAAAATCCAGATGAAAAGTTTCCGCAAAAACAGCTGTTGAAAAAGAGCCCAATGTTGAACTTTACTGAGTCTGAGGTCTATCGAGGGGACGATCCTTATTTCAACTCCCGGAGATTCGCTGACAGTCTCTATTTTTTCTTTTTAAGAAAGTCGAAATAGCTGAAGAGGGAGGTGAGAATCTATATGTGCCCAGATACAAAGAGTAGAAATCTACGCGTCTGCCTTTTGAAAATACACAATTGCGGTGTTCATTGTTGCGTAATGATCCGCCTAGCACACCACTGTTTTGCACATTAGGCTGTGTTATGCAGCTTCCTAACAAACCAAACACACTAGGCTCATTATATCGACTTGTTTTTACCCATTAAGGTAAAGCAAATGGACCCAGTAATCTTCCTGGCGCGTTTGCTCACCTATAAAGACAACTTTTCTCAGTTTAAGGAAAATTCTAAGGTTACGAAATGGCCGAGTGGTTACGGTTCGTCGTCCGCGGTTAGAGGGGTCCCGGGTTCGAATCCCGCTGGTGTCTTTTTGGTTTTTAACGTATGAGTTCAATTATTCACTATAAGAGATTTAATTTCCCGTCGTAAAGTACCAACAGTACCTTAGCTTAATCGGTAAGCACTGCTGCTGGTACTGTCCGCGAGTTCCAGGTTGGCGCCTTCGTACAGGTTCAGGGCATGTGGTCCACTCGGAGGATCAGGGCTTAGGGGCCGCCCTGTTCCTCCCTTAGCTCTTTGCTTTTACATGGTGCCTGGCCCTCCGGGGTTATATGGATGGATAGGGAAGGAAGTGTGTATTGGTCGGGGACGCCGAGACCCCGGAAGAGAACTAAGGGATCGGCTGGGGCATTGTTATGGCTCAGACCGATCCCTGAAAGCTTGACTAGCACATAACTTTTTGATTTTTTTTTACCCTCTATCTTTTATACTTTGGTTTAGTTTGATATCTACAGCTGCTCGGCAGGTCTACGGGTAGTATCAAAATTGAAACAAAGGTGTATGTCATAAATCAATGAATATTTCATAATTGACTATAATCAAAATGGAGTTTCGTTTGATCAATTTGACTATCATATAATGACGCGATTGCCAAATGACGTAAGAAAAGCCATAAATTATACCGGGATAGAATAAAGATGTACATTGTAATATAAATATATTTATACATCTTTCAAATAACGTGTCTTTAATTGTGAGCATTCCAAACAATACAGTAATTCGCAATAGTAATAGAATGGTATATGATAGCACGATCAATGCGTCTCTATTAAATTTAAAAAAATATATAATTTAGGCGCCTAAGTGTGAAATATTCTTTGATTTAATATGAGCACTCCATACGAATGAGTTAATTCGCAAAATATAGCAACAACAAAAGAGAAAGGAAAAAGAGAAAATTCCTTTACCCTAAAAACTGGAAAATAATTTGTTTAAAAAAAAGTCAAATGGGACACTTCATGTATTGATTTAACAGTTTGCAGTTAACCTTACATTTGAGCAAAATTGGGAAAAATCAGATGTTTCTGGAAAATTGCAGCTTGTAAGGGGTTAACCTTGCATTTTTAGAAAAATTTAGATGTTTATGAAACATTTCAAATTGTAAGGGGTGAACCTTGCATTTTTTAGCGAAATTGGGAAAAATCAGATCTTTCGGGAACATTTCAGATTGTAAGGGGTTAACCTTGCTTTTGTAGTAAAATTTGGCAAAATAAGATGTGTATGAAAAATTTCACAGTGTAAGGGGATAACCTTTCTTTTTTAGTAAAATTGGGAAAATTTAAATGTTTACGAAAAATTTCAAATTGTCAGTGGTTGACCTTGCATTTTTTAGCAAAATAGGGCAAAATCAGGTGTTTATGGAAAATTTCAGATGGTAAGGGGTTTACGTTGCATTTGTATCAAAATTGGGCAAAATCAGATTTGTATAAAAAATCAAAAATTGTAAGGGGTTAACCTTGCCAAATTAGGGCAAAATCAGATGTTTCTGGAAAATTGCAGATTGAAAGGGGGTTAACCTTGCTTTTTTAAGCGAAATTGGGAAAAATCGGATGTTTCTTGAAAATTGCAGATTGTAACGGTTTAACTTTGCATTTTTAGCATAACTGGGCAATATCAGGTTTATATGAAAAATCTCAAATTGTAAGGGGTGAACCTTGTATTTTTAGCGAAATTGGGCAAAATCAGATCTTTCTGGACAATTTCAGATTGTAAGGGGTTAACCTTGCTTTTTTAGTGATATTTGGCAAAATAAGATGTGAATGAAAAATTTCAAATTGTAAGGGTAACCCCTTACAATTTGAAATATTGCTTTTTTAGTAAAATTGGGCAAATTTAAAGCTTTATGAAAAATCTCAAATTGTAAGGGGTGAACCTTGCACTTTTTAGCAAAATAGGGCAAAATCAGGTGTTTATGAAAAATGTCAGATTGTAAGGGGTTAACCTTGCATTTTTAGCAAAATTGGGAAAAATCTGATTTGTATGAAAAATCCAAAATTGTAAGAGGTTGTAAGGGGTTAACCTTGCTTTTTTAGTAAAATTGGGCAAATTTAAATGTTTATGAAAAATCTCAAATTGTAAGGGGTGAACCTTGCACTTTTTAGCAAAATAGGGCAAAATCAGGTGTTTATGAAAAATGTCAGATTGTAAGGGGTGAACCTTGCATTTTTAGCAAAATTGGGAAAAATCTGATTCGTATGAAAAATCCAAAATTGTAAGAGGTTAACCTTTGCCCAATTAGGGCAAAATCAAATGTTTCTGGAAAATTGCAGATTGAAAGGGGTTAACCTTGCATTTTTAGCAAAACTGGGCAATATCAGATTTTTATGAAAAATCTCAAATTGTAAGGGGTGAACCTTGCACTTTTAGCAAAATTAGGAAAAATCTGATTTGTATGAAAAATCCAAAATTGTAAGAGGTTAACCTTTGCCCAATTAGGGCAAAATCAAATGTTTCTGGAAAATGGCAGATTGAAAGGGGTTAACCTTGCATTTTTAGCAAAACTGGGCAATATCAGATTTTTATGAAAAATCTCAAATTGTAAGGGGTGAACCTTGCATTTTTAGCAAAATAGGGCAAAATCAGTTGTTTCTGAAAAATTTCAGTTGTAAGGGGGTTAACCTTGTGTTTTAGCGAAATTGGGAAAAATCAGATTCGTACGAAAAATCAAAAATTGTAAGGGGTTCACCTTTGCCAAATTAGGGCACTAAAAATTGGGCAAATTTAAATGTTAATGAAAAATCTCAAATTGTAAGGGGTGAACCTTGCATTTTTAGCAAAATAGGGCAAAATCAGTTGTTTCTGAAAAATTTCAGTTGTAAGGGGGTTAACCTTGTGTTTTAGCGAAATTGGGAAAAATCAGATTCGTACGAAAAATCAAAAATTGTAAGGGGTTCACCTTTGCCAAATTAGGGCACTAAAAATTGGGCAAATTTAAATGTTAATGAAAAATCTCAAATTGTAAGGGGTGAACCTTGCACTTTTTAGCAAAATAGGGCAAAATCAGGTGTTTATGAAAAATGTCAGATTGTAAGGGGTGAACCTTGCATTTTTAGCAAAATTGGGAAAAATCTGATTTGTATGAAAAATCCAAAATTGTAAGAGGTTAACCTTTGCCCAATTAGGGCAAAATCAAATGTTTCTGGAAAATTGCAGATTGAAAGGGGTTAACCTTGCATTTTTAGCAAAACTTGGCAATATCAGATTTTTATGAAAAATCTCAAATTGTAAGGGGTGAACCTTGCATTTTTAGCGAAATTGGGAAAAATCAGATTCGTACGAAAAATCAAAAATTGTAAGGGGTTAACCTTTGCCAAATTAGGGCACTAAAAAAGCAAGGTTAACCCCCTTACATCTGAAAATTTCAAATTGTTAGGGGTTAACCTTGCATTTTTAAGCAAAATACGG